GGGTATATTTTGGGTATAGTGACTAACCATCCTAAGCACTTTAATACACTACACTTAACTTTCAAATACACACTCTTTATGACCAATTCAAGCAATGCCACGAAATCATATATAATTTGGCCCTTCTTCTTTAAGCACATCTATACACTCAATAGCCCGGATCATGATGAATAGGAGGTGTGTGTGTATATATATATATATTTGTTTTTTTCTCTCTCTTTTTTTTTTTTTGGATTTTCTTTGCTTTTCTTTTTCTTCTCTTTTTTCTTCTTCAACACTCTCCATAAATTTAGATTGTCCGGCTAATGATCTTCCAAAATATACATGCACCTTTGGCTTTTCTATAGTTTCACTCAAAAGTTATCCCAACTCTCACCTTACTCTTCTAGCGATTTAATTGCTTTCAGAGGTAAATGTTCAACAAGATTTAATTAAGAACAAAATGGGAATTGGCTTGTAATGTGGGTGCCAAAGAAAAAGCTTATAGGCTCAAATGAGCTATCTAAGGATAATTTTATTTATGGTGGCATAAAAGCTCAATAGACAATCAAAGAAGCGCCTATATCATCTCCTAAACTCACCAAGCTTACTTATTTCGCTTCGACTAATACACATGGAAAGTTCTAGACAAACACATGATAGCACAGAATGCAGTCGAAACCTCACATCACACAATGCACATGACCCTAGTCAGGACGGTTCCATTCCAACTCTGAAGTTTAGACAAGTAATAATAAAGTCAAAGAAATATTAAGCAAAAAAGTACTACATGAATAATGAATCGAGTAACTGAGAAAAAGTGTGACAAAAAGACTATTCAATCTTTCACGGCATCAATAAGCTTCAAAACAATCTTGACTATCAACTGATACTAGATATATTTGGTTTCTTGAACTTGTTTTAACAAGACTGACCCTAGTGGTTAGCTGTGTGCAATTGTACAAGACAAAGGAACATGAGTGCTTTTAAGAAGTTAGCCACTTGGAAGTATATTCCTGAATATTATCATATTGTCATTTTTGAAGAATAGGTTAAAAAGGATTAGACGGAATATGGGTAAATGAATTATAACCACAAGCTTTCTTTTGCACAAGCCACAACCATAGCCAGTCCTCAAAAACCTATCGAACTCTATAATTTCAAAGTGGGTCCCTTCATCTTCACACTTTACCTTAATATTTTCTTAGTTTATTTCCCAAACTATAAGAAAAAGGTGACGGATGTGACTTGAAAGCCTATGATTACTTGCTACACAAAAGGGGTAGCTATTCCATTGGTTAAGGCCTACAGAATAGATAAGGATATTGGTTAGCCTATCTATTGAGATCAGCTATTACACGTTCTATATGGATAACTAATTTTGCCATTTTCGTACAATAATTTCTGGAACTAATTAATATGTATATATATATGTGTGATAAAATAAAATGATATTGCATCTTATCACGAAATTATTATTCTTTGTTTCACCAACCAAACGACTGCTTGAGGATAAAATAAGTTATGATGACACCTCCTATGTATAGATTAAGGGTGGCAAGTGAGCCAGGCCGGACCCTGTACAGGCCAAACAGGCCGGTCTTGTGGGCCGCGGTTCCGGACCGGTCCCGATTCTTAAATAAACTGGCTAAACGGTCCCGAGCTAAACGTGTTTTTTGTAAGAACCGGCCGGGGACCGGGCCCACGTACTCATGGTCCGGGGGCTAAACAGGCCGGGCCCGCAGTCCCAATGGGCTAAATGGGCCCACGACTAAGCAGTATTTTAAAAAAAAATTAAATAGAAATTAGAGACAAAAAGATGTTAAATTTTTTTTAAGACAATGCCTTGTAATTTTATTATAGAATTGTGACCTAATTTTTTAATTAAAATTTAAAGACAAAAATATTGTAAAAAGATATTGAAAGCAATGCCCTCAAAGATATTCAAGGACTAGTGGGTGTATCATCGTCCGGTTGAGTTTCATCAAGATCAATTTCCTCATCATCGTTATTATCAATAGTATTATAATTATTAGAATAGAGAGCATTCATTAATTCATGGTCTAAATGTTCACCGGGTGCTATATTATGGTAAAATTTAGTGTCGCTAAATTGTAATAAACTATTATCGGTATCAAAAATAGTAGGTGTAGGACGGGTATGGGGTTTGGTTCGGGGTGCCGGGGACAGAGGAGGAGGAGCATCAGTACCACTCGATTCGCCAGTTTTGGATTTTCCCTTATTCTTACTTTTACCAAAAATATTTCTTAAGGAAGACATCTTAATTAATCAAGTAATAGAAAATAAATAAAATAAACAAAATTATAATATTAATATTTAAGAATTGGAATGAGTTTACCGAATTGACGAACAACTTGTTCAAAATTGATTATCGTTGAAGACTTGAAGACTCCAATTCACCAACTTCACAATTTTTTCACCAATTATAAACACCTCAATATTATTTGACTATTTTTTGGAATAAAGTAAGCAATAGTAGCAATCTCATAATTTTTTTACTATTTTTTTTTGAAAAAGTAAATAATTGTAGAGAGTATAGAAGAAAATTAGAGAGAGATTTTGATAGATTGATATTGATTTTGTAAGAAAATGAAAGAATGAGGGGGTATTTATAGTAGAAAATAGGGAAAAAGTGTAATAATAAAAAGTTTGGGGAGGGGGAGGGTTAAATGACTTTTATTTAAATACCCAATGACTATTTTTAAAACACCCAACGACTCTTTTTTTCAAAAGCCAAACAACTATATTTTTTTATAAAAATATCCGTTGGGCATGTTTGGCTCATCAAAGGACCGGTCCAGTCTCGGTCTCGATCTCTTGGCGGGCCAAACAATCCAGGTCCTAACGGTTTCTAGCTAAGAATCGGCCTATGAGACCGGAACAAGCCCACCTATAGCGGGCCAAATGCTCCCAGCCCATTTAGCCCACTTAGCCCGCAGTTTCGGGCCCGACCCGACCCACTTTCCACCCTTAGCATAGATATTTTACAGGGTTCTTTTTCTAATGATCAACTGATCATAGACTATCCTAGTCACGCTTAATTTAAGCAAGTGTAGTTATCTCAAATCTCTCTATATTTTCGTCGTTTTCGAAGAGTGATATAAAATTGAATAAAAAATAAAAGAATGGAATTAGTAGCATAATTATTTTTTTTGTAACAACTATGAATATTATCATACCAACAAACATGAGTTAACACTACACCTAAAGAGAACCTAACCCCATACATATCCACCTTCTAGGAAGATTAATGTGAAGAATTAGGCCTGAGAAATGACTTTCTAGTTACACATGATTTTTTGTATCATTTCCTATAGTTTCTTCTAGTATGGATTAGAAGTTCTAATCTATGTACAATTTCCATCTAAATCTGTACTACAGCTAGCTCAATATTTAAACTTTGTTTCTTGAAAATGACCCAGTTCCTTGCCCTCCACATATGGTAGATGATAGCACTCCAAATAGCCGATAGTGTTTCCTTAGTTGCTTGCTTCCAATGATTACTTCTGATTCTTTCCATTACCCTCTTCACCTCTCCTTCTTGGAGTTGGATGCTCAACCAGCTTTCCAATTCCTTTCGAAGTACACTGGTCCATGCACATTCTACAAATAGATATATAGGAGTTTCTGCTGTGTGTGTACTACATAGGCAGCATTCACTGTTATCCACTTGAATACTCAGTTGTTGAAGCCTATCTTTTATCAAGAGTCTGTTCTGTACAGCTAACCATAGATAAACCGATGCTTTGGTTAAGCAATAGCAGTCCACACCAGGTCAGCACTAGCCTATTTTGTAAGATTACCTTTGAAAGCAATGTAGCTTTCTGTAATAGAATACCTTCCAGTAGAATTCAACCTGTATTTGCCATTTATGTACCAAGTGATCATGTCATCCTTCAGAGAGTTTATCTTCTTCCAATACCAGCTGCAATCCAGAGGCGACCTATGTGTCCAGATATTATTGTCATGCTTCATATACATACCATGAACCCACTTCACCCAAATGAAGCCCCATTTCTCTTATAGCTACCATATATATAAGCTTGCCAACAGCTGTAATATTCCATTGTCGACATCTCTTAATATTAAGTCCTCCAAACCTTTTAGGCACACAAATCTTATCCCAAGATATTAGTGGTGTTTTCTTCTTTTCCTCTGTACCTCCCCATAAGTACTCCCTACATAGCTTATCAACTTCTTTAAGCACACTCCGAGGAAGTATAAACATAGCCCCCAAAAATTATGTATGGAGAAGGGTACTACATTAATGATTTGTAATCGTCTAGCATAGGATAACTGCTTTGAATAACCATAATTTATTCTCTGAGTGATCTTATCAGTCAATTGATGGCAATCCACTTTGTTTCACTTCTTTGAAGAAAGTGATAGTCCCAGATACCTAATAGGGAAAGTCCCTATTGTGAATCCAGTTATTTCCATTAGTCTCTTCTTAGTTGCTTCATCTACCCCTCCAACAAATATACTTGATTTTTTCATGTTTGCTATCAATCATGTAACCTTGGTGAAGTGATCTAGTGCCTTCATTACTCTTTTGATGGATATTTCTTGACCTTTGCAGAAGATCATTAAATCATTAGCAAATACCAAGTGAGCTTGAGTTGTTTACACATTGGGTGAAACCTAAAATCTGAAAGTTCACTCATACACTTAAGTGTTCTTGACAAGTACTCCATAACTAATACATATAGGAGGGGAGACATGAGATCCCTCTGCCTTAGTCCTCTTCTCCCCTCAAAATAGCCATTCTCTTCTACATTAACAATGATAGAATATTTCGTTGAGGTTACACACTCCATCACAAGCTTGACAAATTTTTCTAGAAACCCATAGCCATTTAATGCCTCTTCTATAAATTCCCAGCTCACCATGTCATATGCTTTCCTTAAGTCAATCTTCATAAGGCATCTAGGGGTTATTTTCTTGTTATAATGTCTTAGAAGGTCGTAGCAAACTAAAACATTATGCACCATGGATCTTATCTATACAAAGGTTGTCTGACTTTCAGACACCAGATGGCTAACCCTTTCTTTAAGCTTCAAGCATATAAGTTTTGATATCACCTTATAGATCACATTACAACATGCAATTGGTCTATATTGACTAGCATTTTCAGGAGTTGATACCTTTGGAATGAGTGCAATATTGGTGGCATTTATCTGTTTCAGAAATTGGCCATTTTGGAAAAACTCCAGCACTGCCTCTGCTACATCCTTTCCTATTATACTCCATGCTGCTCTGAAAAAATCACTTCCATAACCATCCGACCGAGAACTCTTATTGATGTCAATACTATAGACAACCTTCTTAACATCCTCTTCAGTGAAAGGCTTGAGTATGTTCAAATGATGCTCCTCTGTTAGTATTGGACCATTCCTTAGAAAACCTCTGAAGGCTCTGATTCTTTCCTCATGTTGTTTCCCCAGAAGATCCTGATAATAATGAACAAACAGTCTAGCTATAACTTGTTCTGTTTGCCAGTTGCCTTGATTATCTTTGAGTTGAACTATGGCTTGCTTAAGTATCCTGTGCTTTATCACTGAGTAAAAATAACTGGTATTATCATCCCCTAGATTAATCCAACTAGCCTTGCTTCTTTGCTGCAAGAACACCTCTGCTAAGTAGGACGATTGCCTTAGTTTTTGGTGTTTCTCCTTTTCTATCTGCTGCAATATCATGTTCCCAGGATCCTTATTGAGCTGCTCCTGTATAATCTTCAGTGCTCAAAAAAATATATTATAATAATCCACCATAATTATTATAAAATCTTTTTTGAGGTTTTTTCCGTGGAATAAAAAGTAAGCCCAATACAATAACCCAAAGAAAATATTAATTTTGGTATAGAGAAAATGAACAAAAAATCAAAGCCTAGATTTCACTATCAGAATATCCTTCATGTTTTCATCAACCACTTTCTTAATATAACCAAATCATTATTTCTCTTGTAAAGTAGGGATACCCAATTTTTCTTCCAGCTGATAAAGACACCATTTGAAATGCAACGGAACCTCATTCTGAACACTGAATTTTTCACGCTAATCTTATTTAAATCATTATAGTTGTATCGATTTGTCATGTCGTAAAAGGAAAAAAAAACTTGTAATTTCATTTCTTTTTTTCTTGTGTTTTGCGTGAAGCAAACTACGATAAACCCAGTGAATTCCCACAAGTAATGTTTGGGGAGGGTAATGTGTACGCAAACCTTACCCCTACCCTGAGAGGACAGAAAATCTATTTCCAATAGACCCTCAGCTAAAAAAAGATGAAAAGAACATTGGCAGCAAGTAGTAACAACAACAAGATATTATGAAAATCGAAGCGAAAGATAGGAATCAAACAGTGGTACAAATAGCAATTTAAAAATAAAAAGATATCATACTAACACTATTACTACCGTTCTAATTGTGCTGGGAGAACAAAAGTTTTCTTTAAATTGGATATAGAAAAATAGAATCACGAAGATCGACCAGGAAGTGTTAGCTTCTTTAAATATGAATTGACATGATTGGAAAAACAAAAATTTGCTCAACCTTTCGTACCATTATGGCGTACCGATAGTGAAAAAATGAGGAAAGAAATATCATTGCAAATGAATTTATTTTCTCTATTGTAAGGTTAGACGCTGAAGCTCTTTTTAATGTGCAAATTGAAAGCAAGGGCAAAGAGACGATTCTTAAAATTTATCTTTGAGAGCTCCTTTTTAATGTACAAATTGAAAGCAAATCTATTATATTTTCAGGTCGAATACATCTTAGCCATAAGTAAAATATACATGTGAAATGTGGGAAAGCTGTTTTTCAGGCATTTAAATACTCGGGTGTAAGAGAAATTTGATCATTCTTGTCTTCTTGTCATCAAAATATTCCTTGAGAACAACGTAAGAACTAATGAGACCGACGCAGCCTCTATTTTGTTTGGATATGTTTGGAATATTTTTGAAAATAAAATAAATAAAATGGAAAGAGACTAATATCGAATATTAATAAAGTAGCTTCGCAAATGTTATCACCGAAGCAAACTCTGCCCTTTTGTCAGGAGCATATTATATTTTTGCAAGTCGAGCTACTTGGATATTGTGGCTACCTCATTCCATATATTTTACAAAAATTGGATAACCTTATTTAGTAAAATAACAATAAAATATATTCTAATAATTTTATTACATAGAATAAATAAAAAACTTAACAATTATAGTCTATTTGTAGTTTAAAATATCATCTAGTTACTAAAAGGAACTATCTAAGTATTACAAGTTGAATTTTCCTCGTAATGTGCGATTCTCTCTATAACATCACTCTCTTTTCATGATTTCCTTTTACATGTCACTTTTATTTTTTTCATGCCTTTTTGACAATATTAAAAAAATATTTTGACTAAGTTATTAGAAGTATCATTTATTTATTTTATCTCAATTTTACTTTCACCATTTTTATTAGAGTAAGAGTAAATAAATTGGAGAAAAAACCAGTTAGGAACTGTATGGATCAAAATTTGCCTTTAGGACATTCAAATCAAAATAACACTACGAGAAGGATCCGCAAATCATCATTTAAAGACGGTCATGAAGTCATATGAGCCGAGGTCGAGGAGGCTAAGAAAGTCGTGGTCAAAATACCGATGAGGACCAAGGTCGAGAAGTCGAGGAGAGTCACGGTCAAGTCTTCAACGAGAATCATGGTCAAAGAGTCGAGGAGGGTCGTGGTCGAATACTGACGATAGAGCTGTAACAACTAGTTTTCAAAATGGAATAGGAAGTGAATATTCCTTACATTTGTACTATTAAGGTTTTTCGGGAAAGGATCCCATATAAATAGAAGAAAGAGAGAGAGGAAATGCACGTGAAATTCATTCTTGTAAGAACAACACTTTGAAAAAGATTTATTCTTCACTCAATACAAAACTTTACTTTTTTATTAAGATTCTTGCCAGATCCGAGGAATCCTCGACTGTTTGAGGATATGTCATCCAATCATTGTCAGGAGAAAGTTTTCTTTGTTCCATTTTTTGTTGCTTAAATTATTCTCCTTATTACGTGACTGCTACCAGATTGACAGTTATTGAATATCTTACGTATTATTATTGTTCTTGGTAGTTATAAGGCATCTATTGCAAGGAATCATTATAGTCTTCATAAATGCTTCTCAACTACCTTTTGATATCAAGATTTGAGAAAATTATTCTTAACTAAGATTAACCTATATTTAATTAGAATTAATTATTTGAACCGAGATTTACGTTTTTGGGTCAAACAGTTTGGCGTTGTCTATGGGGATTTTCTAGTTAAATTTTTAGTTTCTTCTAGATCTACAAATAACACGGATCACTAACGTATAAAAAAGAGCAAGAACAAGATCTCCTTTCTTTGTGTACACAAATCCCAATATGGCAAGTAACAGAGAAGAAAGGATGAGAATAATAAGCGACCTCCCAACCAACCTCATGAACGTCATCAATGAAAGCTGTGAAACAAGAGACGAAGACACAACGCCCAATGCCTCCCCTAGACGAGATGGGTCACCTCCTCCTCACTGCAGCATCAGGAAATCTCTTGGTAAGGTAGCCTCCACATCCGTGGCGGAGGAGACGCCCCCAGCTGTGAAAAAAACTCCTTGAGGCATGGGTAACTGACACCTAACCAGCGTCCTCTGCAAGCGCGCTAGGGACACGACTACAGAAAACACAAGGACTTGCGTTATACGACCAACAGACGAGTAACACAACCAACTCCATCCTCCTCCAACGACATGTATTACTTACAATAACATTAACAGTGCAAGTGACGACACTCTCGCTGCCATTCTGAAAAGGATGGAGGAAATAGAGAATGAGAACAAAGCACTCCGGGACCAAATAAAAGAACACAAAGAAAGGGTCGATAAAATACCGGGTGCCCTTAAGATCTTGCCGAAGAGAGATGCCGGCTAGTTCGCCTGGCAACCGTATAGTGATGCCATCGCCCCACATGCCATACCAAAAACCTTTACAATGCTGCCCTACCTCAGGATATATGATGGCATGACTGACCCTGAAGATTATGTGACTCACTACGTCATCGCCGTGAAAGGCAATGACCTCGCCAAAGAACAAGTATCTTCCATATTGTTAAAAACATTTGGTGAAACCCTCACAGGAAGAGCGTTAACATGGTATTCACAACTACCTGCGCATTCCATAGAAACTTTCAAAGAGATGGCCGACAAGTTCGTAACGGCCCATGCTGGGGCCAAGAAGGCCGAGACGAGAGTGAACGACATATTTGCTATTAACCAGTCTACGGGAGTGGGATTAGGGGACTTCTTCGCGAGATTCAACCGAGTAAGGATGATGCTGCCAAACGTATCGGAAGGGATGGCGGTCGCAGCCTTTTAGAACGGGTTGAGCAGGGATGGTTCGAGGGCGACCAAAAAGTTATTAAGTCGACTGAAGAAGTACCCTCCAACCACGTGGAACGAAATACATAATGCATATTATGTCGAGGTCCGAGCAGATGAGGACGACCTCAATGGACCAGCTCATCGATTGACCTCGATATAGGTAGAATCCAGAAAAGATCAGAGAAATGATACCATAATAGATCTCGCAGCCCCGCGATCTAACAGGGAACGACACCAACTGTACGTCAGAACGGCCGTCACACCCTCCGCCTACTACGAAGCAGGCCCGTCTAAACCAAGAACATGGACTTACTGGAATGAAAGAGGTATGCCCCCTTTACTATTAGCTCACAATTTTTGTGTGTCGCCTGCAGAAATAGTCTATGCTTTGGAGAAACTCGGACAGAAAGTACAGTGGCCGTAGAAGATGAGGTCAGATCTGAGTACCAGAGAATCTGACGCCCTCTGCAAGTTCCATCAAGAACGATGGCACAAAACTGAGGACTGCATCGCCCTAAGGAACGAGGGCACAAAACAAGGATACCTCAAAGAGTTGAAGCGACCGGGGAAGGACCAACTTCAGGACACGAGCAACGCCAAGGACCACCAAAACCACCCTCACCAGCCCGTACCATCCACATGATCATCGGTGAAAGCGCTGACTCATCCATCAATAACGTAAAATTCACCACTACCACAAGCTCAAGCAATCAATCACTCGCGAATGATATGACAAACTCGAAGAAAGTATCGTCTTTGATTATTCAAACACCAATGATTTGACCTTTTCACATAATGATGTCCTCGTTATTACCTTACGAATTTTAGATATCGATGGGAGATGCATTATGGTAGATGACGAGAGCGGTGCGTGCATTATCCATCCTCAAGTACTTGCACAAATGAAACTCAAAGATAAGAGAGTACCACGTTGTCTGACGCTAACTGGTTTTAACAATGCAGTTGAGCGAACATCTGGAGAAATCACACTCCCTGTTCTGGCCGGTGGCATCTGATCACGTCCAAAGCACACCTCAAAAAAAGTATGAAACGGTCGTATGCAATAATAGAAATCCAACTAAGAGTCGGGGTCTAATCCATATGGAGCTATGATGGGAGTTAGGGATATATATTTCAATTTGAGCAATTGGATTATCTGGATTGCACTTCCACAACAAGGATTTGTTTTGTATTTCTAATGTTACACTAGTGATTGCAAAATAAAGAAAGAAGACTAGAAATAATTGTTTTAAGGTTTTTCCAAATAGATAAAAAGCCTATGGTTGTGACCATGACCTAGGTGT